TTGCAGCCTTTATTGTAAAATTCAATTACAAATCATATTTATTTCAGGTACGTACATACCAGCAGTCATGAAAGTGATTCACGAGTGTGATTAGATCAGGAATATTTGTGTTTATGTGAGAGGAGTATGATTATATCATGATTGAGAATATTATATGGAATGAAAATGTTCTCACTATTTAAATTTCAAGATCAGGTATAAAGCAAATAAATTAAAGCAACCGAAAAAACTGCATAAATTATTAACCTAATATAAAGCCTAACCCTAATCTACACCCAAAATTTTCTTAGCAGATCTTTTAGAACTGCCGGTGCTAGAACACTTTACCGCCTCTTTACTACCTGGATGTGTGTATGATCTGATTTAATCCCATATCTAGAGTGACAAATGTATTTTTAGGAGTTTTACAGAGCATGAATTAATTATCACTAATCATCAAAGATGATCATAGCGGAAGTAAATTATGTTCATGTAATTTTAAATATGGTTTCTTATTTGTCAGATTACTATGATTGGGCTATTTGAAAAAGGGTTATTTTGGTTATTTGGCAAAAATTTATAGTTTACTTTGTTTATTTGGCAGAAATTAAGTTTATTTTGGTTATTCGACAATAATTGATACGTTTCATTCTATCGGGATGTACGTATGTTTTTTTGTGGGGTATATACAGAATGCAGTATGATGTACTTTGCGTATTTACTTTTTAAATAAATTTTTAGAATAAGTCAAAGCGTTCGAGTGTCCGAGTAGTTTCTTATATTTTAAAATAAACTAGGTAGATAGGTAGATCAAAGTACTTTAAGTTGTCTATCATGTTTTAAAATTCACAAGACAAATCGATGCATTGAAAACAGTTGCTCATTTTATAAATTCCTAATAGTAATGGGTTTCATAATTAACGTATGGGGTCCCATTTTTGACAGTAATAGATATCGTATTTATTTCAAATGAGCGATGTATCGACTTTCTTTTATTTTCCGATAAATTTGTAATAATAATTTTTGTTGTTGAAAAGTTTATTTATTTTCGTTAAATGGATATCACTAAACTCCCATTTTATTTTACAATTTCAAAATTTGATAACAAATCAGGTTTTTTGTACAAATAATATAAAAGGCGCCTATGGTGTTTATGGTGTTAATAAGTTTTTAGTTAAAATTTAGGGTTAGGGTGCAACTTTAGAGTAAGATAGGGGTTAGATATAAAGGTCCAAATTTTAGTTAGCATAAGGTTTTTGGGGGTTCTGATCATTTTTACTTAGTACCCCTGAGAGGTGTTAGCTAGTACGTTTTTGAGATATAGCTAATTATGGTGTTCAACACCATAGGTGCATTTTAGTAGCGTTGTTTTTGTAAACTCCCACTTTTTCTAAAATACTCTATTTTTTTAAAAAAATTCTTTAGAAATCGAAGAATGTACAATAGATTTCCATATTAAAAAATTGTCTATATAGGGCGAAGCACTTGAAGCAATTTTTTACGATTGGATAAGTCGAAACAACTTAGTGAAGTTCATTTTCGTATTTTAAAATTCTCTGGATGTTTTGTATTAAAACTTTTACACTATTGTTTGTTTGCATGTTTCGATTTTATACATATTTTCTTTTCATTTATCGTTATATATTTTAATTAAACTTTTTTACATTCTCCACGTTATGCTCGATCGTCATAATTTGGCGGATAATACCTTACGCACCAATATCTATATACTATTTTTCTCTTTTATTATTCTGGCAAAAGTTGAGTTTTGCCTGCATTTTAATATTTAATGTGACAACATTAAAAAAACTATATAAATAAAACATACAGTCAGACCTCCCTTCTCTATAGTTACATTTGCTTATAATCACATAAAATTTTAAAACCAACTTATATAGCACTTATAAAATTTAATCACAAAATCTCTGTAAGCACCAAATTCTTAAAACCAAAGGTGTGATTATAGAGAGGTTTGACTGTACAATTTTGATAATAATTATAAGCCTAAGTAATTTACGTCGAAAATTTTAGCATTTTCTAAAGCAATTATGATTGGATGTGAAACGTCTTATTTATTGGTCACGCTTTTGCTCGTGATTCGCCATATTTCCTTTTTGATTAAATCATCGTACTGTATAAAAAAAAAATTGTGCTGCACAAAAAATGCGTGACAAATCATCAATTTTGATTGGAAACGGTTGTGATCGACAGAATTCTGGCCCGCATTATACATAATTTTGGCCAGAATTAATTTTTTAATTTTTTTAATCCCCAAAATGGATAATTTTAAGTTTCAATGTAAAATTAGTCGGGTGACCTAATTTCTCCCACAACTTCACTATCGAAAAACTATAAAATTGATTAATAACACAAATACTTTGATATGTGAATAATGAGTAGAACCAACAGGTGGTGGTGGAAATTAGTAAATTCAAATTAGCCAAGAGACATTTTTCACTTAATGGGCGCCGCGAATTCATTAGTAAAATTTTGAGTAATTTTGGCCTAAATTTTTTGATCGCTGCTGTTGGCCAATCAAAATCGTGAATTTCCACGTATTTTTGTAGGTTTAATGATATACTAATCTGCTATAATTTCAAGCAAGCCCCAAAAATTTTTTATTGTACTTATAATTTTCGGTTATCACATGAACATGTATCTGTACTATCGCTATAAGTCTATGCAAGAAAATATGGCATATGTATTTTAAGTGTTGATTTATGCCCGTAAAAAAATTTATTATTATTTCATTATCAATATTTAATTAAGATACAGTATTCACTTTTAGATCGCTTTATAAATATTTGAAAAGCCCTACTTTGTGGAAATTTGCCCAGTAAGTAATTTCTTTTTGCTTATCCAATTTTCTTTAGAGCTTTACATTTTTATTTTATTATATTTTATTTAATATATATATATTTTTTTTGTGTTTTTGTTTTTCGTGCAAAAAAAGAAAAAAATCAAATTTGCTGAAGCCTGAATCATGATCGATGAAAGAAATACTCTGGTCAATCAGGCACCAAGATAGATTATTTCAATAAGACCTTTGGGCAAAAACCTTGCTAAACGAAGTCAGCACCCTGAACTAGCGTTACAGCGATGCTATGAATACTCGGCAGTGACGATCGATTTTAAATCGATTTGCATAAATTAATTTTTTGCTAATAACTTATTTTATTTCAATAATTTACCATGTTTGCCAATATATACTAAACTTTATATTTAGATATAATAAAATATATGTACAGATTACTAATTATTTAATCAGATAACTTTATTTAAATAACGAAAAACTTACGGAGACTCTGTTCGTTCTCAATTATAAGCTCTATATCATACATGTAAGGATATCTAGGTTCTAAAAATATTCCTATCCAAACAAACTATTCGTTTTATAACAGATTACATAATTATAGCCACTAAGATAACATACAAAAACCAATATATCATATTTGCATAGGAGAAATCACACAGCTATAATGCGAATCGATTAAATAACATTATGTCCTTGCACGGCTATCATAGCCGTGTATCATAATTACCAAAATGTGAGGGTTTTGCATTGCCTACAGCAACCATAGAGCCTAATCACAACGTGAGATCCTTATACTGCTATCGTAATTGCGGTGCTTAATCACCAAACATGAGGTTCTTGCACTGCCTGCGGCAGCCATGGAGCCTAATCACAATATGATGTCCCTGCATTGCTGTTGTAGTTGCAGAGTTTAATCACCAAATATGAAGTTTTTGTAAGAAACGGAATCTAATCACAACATGAAGTCCTTCACTGCTATTATCGTAGTTGCGGAGCTTAATCACCAAACGTGAGTTTTTTGCGGCTGCCACAGAGCCTAATCATAATATGAGGTTTTTAAAAGCATTATCACAATATGAGGTCCTTCATTGCTATCGTAGTTGCATCACCAAACATGAGATTCTTATTTGATAATTAAGATTTAAATTGGGTGCCAAATACTTAGATTGATGACCGCAGAGTTCAGAACTGTTTTCCTAAACTAATAAAATCCGATTCCAACAAAGAACAAAACCGGTTTCAATCCCGAATTTTAACTAAATTACACTATCTGCGATGAAATAATTGATATAATACTTATTGACTAAATCAACGAAAGAGATGCAAATCAGAATTAATAGGAATAACTTAATGAGGAATATCTAATTTCGAATAATGACTTGATAAATAACAGCATTTTTAATAACAATGTCAAATACATATGATGTTATGATTTAAATTTGATAAGTGATAATTAAGTAATTATAAAGTACGTGTGAGTCAAAAGTTCATGACGGGATCTTTTTTTAATCGCTGATACAATTTTGATCAAATTACGTAGATATAATAAATTTTAAAATTCGATATTGACGAAGATAGTAAAAAAAAACAGGTCTTGTCCAGGGACTTTTTACCCACCTAGTATATGGCTGACGCCAAGAGAAAACCAAGAATTCTAAAATATTGATGTCTATCCACAGCAAAGTTGAGGGGTTTATATCGATTAATGATGATAACACATGATTAAAGAATGTCATCATCATCGAATTGATTAAAAACCCACAACTTCGCTGTGGATAGAAATTTATTTTTAGAATTCCTGGTTTTCTCTTGGCGTAACCCATATTCATTCAAGATCCGTTAGTAATTTAAATATAAATGCCGAAATCATGAATTTCTGTTACGCAATGTACCAGCACGATACAACAATACATCGCACTCATCATTAACTCACTTTAAGCAACTTAAGCCATAGTTATACAGTAATATAAATTTAAAACCAGGCGGCAAAGCCGCCCATATGATCGTATTCTAGTTGCAATTACAAAAAAAGACAATATCAATACCTGATACGTATATAATTAGACACTGATGAGGCTGTGCTGACCAAACAATGATCAGATCAAATGAAAGACTAATTTTTAATGATTAATGTTATCATTATAAACGATAAATTCTGAATTATAATACTAAAATTAATTATTACAAAATTTTCATTTCTATAATAATGGGATCACCGACAAAATGGAACGATAATGACAAATCCGAACATTTAAATGTAGAATTAAATGGTCTTAGAGTTAGTTACAAAGGTCTGGGTAGAGATTGGTTCGATTCTGCTTTGATACGAGCAGATTATCCAATTCCAAAATGTGAAATATTTTATTTTGAAGTTAAAATTATAAATGAAGGTAAAAATGGAATTATTGGAGTGGGATTTTGTACTAAAGCAACCGAATTATTCACGTTACCTGGATGGGGAGATAACTCATGGGGTTATCGTGGTGATAATGGGAATGTATTTTGTCATTCAAGAAGTGGTAAATTATATGGTCCACTTTTTTCTACTGGTGATATTATTGGATGTTGTTTAAATTTTAGAAATCGTTCAGTATTTTACACAAAAAATGGTGTAAATTTAGGAATTGCTTTCGAAAATTTTATAAAAAATGAGGCAGAAAGTGAAAATGATATAAAAAATATTTTATTGTATCCTTGTATTGGATTGAGATCTCCTGGAGGATCTGTTGAAGTAAACTTTGGTCACCAAATATTCGAATATAAGGCAATGACCGACTATGACATTAAAAATAAAAGTTTGCAAAAAAAATGGAATAAAGCTTTAAACATGTGCAATTATGAATCGTTAAATATGCAAGCGAATTTGTTTGAAGAATTGATCAAATCGTTGAAATTTAAGCCAAGATATAAAGGGAAAGTTTATTTCATTATGGGCAAATACGAAGAAGCACTCTCATGTTTAAAGAGTGTTAATAATGCATTTTCATTAAGATATCGAGGCGAAACTTATTATATGATTGGAAAATATAATGAATCACTTAATGATTTTAAAAAACTATTAGACCTAACATCAAATGATGCATGGGTATTAAAAGCTTGTGAAGAAATAAAAAGAGGACAAGAAATGTATGAACAGGAGAATCTGAGGGCACGAAAAATAAGACTAAATTGTCCTGATTTAGAGAGAATGAGATTCGATATTTTTTGGAATAAATTTTTACATGAATCAATTATCATTGTGGATAAGGAATTGGAAAAAATATTTTATGAACTATGGAAAGAACTGGAAATTGTAGGAAAGATTGAGATTAAGCCATTGTTGAGTCCACAGGAAAAGAGGGTGCTCATATGGAATAATGATTGGAAGCCAATTTTGAACAATCTAGATTTTGAATTTGAGGAGAGAGGTGATCTATTACTTTTGAAATCAAAGAGCAATGAAATTACATCAGTTATAAAGGATTTGGAAAGACATGAAGAAGAACAAATGAAGAAATTAAAAAAAGAATTGAGGATTTTTTTTGTCGGAAATAAGATCCTGAGTTATGAAAGAATGTTTAAATTTTGGTATCCATTAATTTTTGCGTGGCCAATATTTCCTTTTGAAATGCTAGAATTTAGATTCTTATATTTATTATATTTATTATTTTATACAATATTTTTATTTCCATTATTAATATTGATTTTAACTGGATTGGCTATAATAGTTTCTCCGATACTTATATCATTTCTTTTAATTAGTTTATATTTAGAGAAAATATTGAAAAAGGAGGAGAATGAAAGAAATGTGAAATTATTTTCATTTTTAAGAGGAAAAAGGGAAATTTTATTGAAGAAGAGATTTTTGAAGCAAAATTATTATGGAACCTGTACAAATTGTAAAAATAATAATAGTTATCGAGCTTGGTGCCAAATGTGCGATCCCCAAAAAGCAACTCAAGGGTGGTCAAGTGGAGTTGATTCTATTGATAGCTTTATCCAGGGATTTCAACTTAAAGCAACGTCATATGAAACATTAATTGAATGGATTCCATTTGATAAGCTATTTAATATTGTAGGAATTGGCCAAGGTGGGAATAGTTTTGTATTTTCCGCAATCTGGCAAGATGGAATAAAAATTACAAAATATAATGAATACTTTGAGAAATCACGTGAAAAGTCATGCGTAGTTGCGCTTAAGACTTTGTCTGGTTCGAACATTGATGATATTTTGAATGAATTTAAAGATT